TTAATTTGTTCTTATATGACTTATATTTTTCTTCCGCCTTCTTGGATCTGTCCTTTATAAATTCTTTATATAACGCATTCTTCTTTTTACATGCATTCTGTAATCCCTTACTCATCCACGGTTTCCCACTGTAATTCCTCTTGTTTTTATACTGCTTCCGAGGACAGTTCCTGTCATATACTTTCTTAAATATATTTAAAAATTGCTCATATGCTTTATCTAAGTCTTCCTCTCTGTAAACTGGTTCCCAGTTTTGCCCCATAAAATCCTCTTAACCTCCTTACAGCATGTTCATTCGTCTTCACTGCTTAAAGCTCAGCCTGCTGCATAACTTCCTTCTTCTTTCTTGCCTCTTTGTTCGTTTCTCAGGTTTACAGTGCTGTTTTCCCATGGTAATGCAGTAGACCTGGGCCAGATGAGCAGCTTCTACATCGGCTTAGGTACACGCATCAACTGCAACATCTTCTCCTATGATTACTCAGGCTACGGTGTTAGCACTGGCAAGCCCTCTGAGAAGAACCTCTACGCTGACATTGATGCTGCGTGGCATGCCCTGCGCTCTCGGTAAGCAGGCAGAACATGTGTGGTCCTGTCCACCCAAGCACCATATGCGAGTTCAAGTGACTATTTGATAAACCAGTAAGGATCACTCACATCACTGGTCAGTAGCTTATTGTGAAAATAGCATTTGATTTGCTCAGTTTTATGCAAACATAGTCCTTGCTGTCTGCAGTACCCTCTCTCTGACTATCAGCAAATCAAATCAAAGCTAAACAATGGCTACATATCAGAAGGATTGATTACTGGCAGTGGCAGGCTGAGCGCCACATGAAGCTGCAGCTTCTCAAATTATTTCTCTTGTTTATCTGCTGCCAGTATGGTTAATGAGCCTTTTGTTAGTAGAACCTACATTCTCAGGTGGCAACATGGAGGAAGTTTGTGACCACCAAAAATTAACACTTAAGACAAGAAACATTTGTTATTACAAAAAAAAAGTTAATCTGCATATAAAATTTTTCACACTTGTATGCTGCGCGTCCATCATTCTGCACACTAGAAGGTACTCTTGTTCTGATATTTTGTACTGAAACCTGTGTGTCCTAGGTATGGCATCAGCCCTGAGAACATCATTCTGTATGGGCAGAGCATTGGCACAGTGCCCACGGTAGACTTGGCATCACGGTTTGAGTGTGCTGCTGTGGTCCTCCACTCTCCTCTTACCTCCGGCATGAGAGTGGCCTTTCCTGACACCAAGAAAACATACTGTTTTGATGCCTTTCCTAAGTAAGTTTCTCAGTTAAGAACATGTTTTAGAATTCCTTTCTGCATTATCAGTATTTTAAATAATATAAAGTGACATTTCATTCAAAATGTATCTTATTAATAAACAGTCAGCTTTAAATGTGTCTTAAAAAAAGAACAGAACATCGTCTGTGTTGCATTAAGTGCTCAAATGTTATTATTTACAGGAAACTCAAATGGTGATAATATCTCTGTGGAAAAGTATGAAAATGTCCATTAAAACTTCTCAAACCACTCCTGTGGTAAAATGTTACACATTCAGATTTCCAAGGGGGATAGGCAGAGGTAACTGGGTTCAGAACGAGCTTTAAAGGCATGGTAATTAAATGTGTTTATAGTTGGTCAGAATGGCCACACTGGAAGGCAGAGTGAAAAGGCAACTGTGATAGAGAAGAGATGCGATATAATTAAAAAAGGATAATGGGGCCTAGTTTCAGACAGGCTCTCCGGGAAGACATTCCTAATGTCACACTTGGTTAGTCACCTTAAAAGTACCACGAAAGTTGTGTAAAGCTAGAGGAAAAAGTACAATAACTGGCTTCTCTCAGCTCTGCACAGCTGGCCGGTCACAGCGTGATGTGGTGCGTATCGCATCATCACTCTCTGAGCATTACAGCAAATTGTCAACACAGACACCTTCTGTCCAGCATCGGAAAGGTGTGGAGGGAGTGGCTTTTTTAAAGTTTTTTTTTTCCAGGCTTTTTAGCTTTATTGTTCAGTAGGTTGTGGGAAGGCAGATAGAGGGGGAGACCTGCAACAGATGTCAGTGGTTGGAGTTGAACTGCTGACGATGAGCACACAATGTGCTTTGGTACATGGTGCAGACCATGTCGTAACCACTCGGCTATGGGGCGCCCCTGACAATAACCAAGCTATCTGGCCATCTGATGTAGAGATTGGACACAATATAAATCCTGGGACAAGCACATTGCCAGGAAAGAGACTTCATTTCGCCCAGAATCTACTTGTGCATTAATTGCATCTGCCATTTTTCCTGCAGCATAGAGAAAGTGTCAAAGATCCCGTCTCCAGTCCTCATCATCCACGGTACAGAGGACGAGGTGATCGACTTCTCTCACGGCCTTGCCCTGTTTGAGCGCTGTCCCAAGGCCGTGGAGCCCCTCTGGGTGGAGGGAGCCGGTCACAACGACATTGAGCTTTACAGTCAGTACCTGGAGAGGCTACGGCGCTTCATCAACCAGGACCTGGCTGCACAGCATGCCTGAGAATCAGCATCCTCTCTGCGTTTGTATGAATGAGACTGGTGTGTACGTGTGTGTGTGAATATGAATGAGAAACGGGATGTGTGAGTGAGAATTAGACCTAAAAAGGATGTGTGATTTCTGTCACATCTGTGTGTCTTTGAAGCAGCACACCTTTTAGGTTCATTATCACAACGTACCTGTTTCCTATTTTAAAAGGTGAGAAATTTATTTTGTCATCATTATCTATATCCATCTGTATGGTGTGTAGTGAAACGCTAAAAATAAGAACTGAGATGAAACAGCGCCACAAATGTGGTTTTTAAGGTGGGAAAAACTCTAAATTGCAGCTTTTAAAATGTTTACTCGCATGAACTAAGAAAGAATAGAGATCTGCTTTGTCCTAAAGACACACAGATGTAATGTTTAATTGTGATGTGTGAATCATGGATGTGAGTGTTGAGTGTGTATTCATAATATCTCCATGGGACTGTGACACCTGAATAATGTGTGCACATGCTTATGTGTGTGTGTGTATGAGTGAGGCAGTGCTGTAAGACATGGACATCCTGATGACTTGGACAGCTGCAAATGGAGGAGGCTACTGGAGACTTATCAATGTTGGTGGGTTTTTTTTTTTTCTTTTTGTGGGGACGTATGAATACCTCTGCAGCTTGACCAGTTCTCTCTCTAGTGGACAAACACTGGTCAAGCCTCCTCCTCCTCCTCCCCATTTACCTGTTTAAGGGACATCCATCTGACTTCCAGGGCATTTCCCAAGTTGTTGTTCAGCTAACACTAACCTACTATATTTAAGTGGTTTGGGGGTCCATCTCCTTTCCTTTGGTGTCAGTTACGACAGATACACAAGGACTAAGTCTGAAATACTGCCATAACTTGTATGGCTGGGGGGTGTCTCACGCCGTCCACTCCCTCATATCTGACTCTTGAAATTTCGCAGAACAGCCAACTTCTGCTTTATTTCCTGGCTGCGCTGTAGCTTTAACTATTCACTGTCCACAGAATCAGTGCAATTTATAGGAAATTGCTTTGATTTCCTCTCTTTGCTTTTATTGCCCAGTTCTACATATTCTGAGCAAGAATGATGGTGAGTTTGAAACGGCACCAGGGCTTTGAGAGCCACACTGAGGATATCTCTGGGTAGGTGGAGATTCCTGTGGCATTGATCAAACAGATACTGTATAGAAGTGCAGGTTTAGTCTGTACTTTGTGTCACATTAGATCAGTTGGTTCTAAACACAGGGCTGCAGCTCTTAGTGTTTGCTGATGTGTGAGGTTTAAGGCTTGGGTAGACTGTGCTGATGAAATAGCAGCAGGCATATTTAAAGGAATAGTTAGATAGTGTGGAAATGTGCTTACTTGCTTTTTTGTTTAGAGTTAGATTTAGAAGACTTATCACTAATGCGGAGACTCCAGAAAGCTACTTTGCACATAACTTTTATCCTATCCAGCTAACTGGCTGCAGGATTAAGCATCATACTGTACCGTACTGACAGAGTGGTAGCGATCTTCTCATCTAACCCTCGGCAAGAAACTGTCTTCCCACTGTCAAAGTATTCCTTTGAATCTGAAGCTCAGTTGTCATGGATGTTTGTGAATAATCTGTAGTCTCATCTGGTTAACAGACCCTATTGGAGCCTGATGTTTTGGTTGGATTTGGAGGCTTTAAAGGCAAAATAGTTGCTCAGTTCAAACTAATCATGCTTCATCTGAATCATAAGGATTAAGTTCCAGTCTTACCGTACGGTTTGTTTTCCAAGTCTTGTTCCAGTAGAATTCGTCACTGGAGTTCGACAGCCTCCTGGTCAAAGGCACCCTCAGCACGCTTTCCTTTCTCCTTACATTTTTTTGTCTTGACCATAGATTGATTGTCTCAGAACCATGCGTGCCCATGTTATGACTAATGATGTGACGCGCCAGGATGGAACATCATGCTTACTGTTTAACCTCTGTGGCCCTAAATGTACAGGAGCTCTTTTATGGGTGGCAGCATGCTTCTTGTCTGACACAAGCCATATTTGAGCCTCTCACTGTTGGTGTGGTGCAGGTTCCACCACACGCACCTTTGCACATCACCGCACACACACTCCAACACAACATACACATGCATACACACAAAATCCATGTACTGTTGTAGACGGTATATTTACATGTTTATATATATATCAGATCGAGCATGACAGAAGCAGGTCTTAGGTTCAGCACTATTGTACAAAGCATCCAAAGTGTAATAAGGGTATAAAATGTAAATTTGTGTGTTCACCATTATTATTGACTGTCTTCTACAGGCCAGCATCAAGGATACTAGCTTCCCGTTTGAATAAGTACTAATAAGCCCTGTGTGTGTAGACCTGAAAAAGTACTGGAACTGGTTTATGGTCACAGGCTAGCACCACATTTCCCATCTACACTCTTGTGTTTGCTGCACATCGGTTGCAGTGACAGTAGCTGTTTTGTTAAAGGGAACTTGCAGTACTGAACAAGCACTGATCGGATTACTCCATTTTGGGAGTACACGTGGGTCTTAGTAAATGGTGGAAAGGTTACCAGACACTGCTTGCTTACTTTCATCATTTCAAACAGGGAATCCCTCAATTCTCATCCTGTGCTTTGTGTCTCTGATATTTAAACAATGAAGACCTGCTACCATCTTGACCCAGGGATCGGAGCTGTCAGAAGCTTTAGAGAGAGGTACTGCCTCTCTCTGAAACGTAAGCCTTAGCTTTTCCTGGACAGGTCGTGTTATCAGGGAAACCACTAGATCCACTTTTCATTCCTGAGCTTTGGTTCAAGAAACAGGGTGGAAACTTTCCATTTTATTGATGCACCACTTTGATCAACATATATTGTGTCCTCTGGCCCTGAATATCTATTGATGGGGGTAGGGGTCGAACAGTGAAAACTGTATGCATGTCTCGTGTTTTTCTGAGCAAGTGGCGAAGTGGGATGTTATCGCTTATGTATTCTATGTGAGGGTAAAGCTGAAATCATGTCATTGAACATCAAAGTGCTTAAAAAAACGGGATGTTTGAATTTTTTATTGCTCATACTAACTGATGTATTGTTATGAATTTTGTGCTAGTTTTTGAATGGGGCAGTGGTGGGCAGGCGGGCGGGCGGGGGCTAAAAAATATTAGTGGACTGTTTATATGGTTACTGTACTTACATATTCTTTGTATTATGATTTGTAATTTTATGTTGCTTTTTTGAACAGAATATGATGTAATGAAATTAATTCATGGGACTGAATCTTGACCTTTTTATGGACAACAAAATAAAAAGATCAATTATGTACAAAAGTAAGATGTTGACAGCATTGTTTTTAAAATAATCTTTTTAATTTTGTACAGTACATAAGGTATGTGTTCAAAAATTATATTTATGTACAGTGTTACACATTTAGCATTTGAATCACATTTTTCAGACTATAGCGACACTGGGTTTTAAATAATAGCATGTAAGCTTTAAAGTCTCAGACTGGCTGAAATGACACTGATAATTTACATTGTTCATATAGTAAATATTTTAATGCAGCTTTAAAAAAAAAAATCAAATTTAAACCTCTTTTTGTACAGTATCAGAGAAGGCCTCTGGTCACATATATGCTATCAGGTTTTTTGGACATCACATATTTTCATGCAGAATGTTTGGTCATGAAAATTGATTTTAAGGCACAGAAATCAGTTGACTGAAGCCTGTATGAACCCTGTATGTACCAGACTCTCTAATACCTACTGATATGGGAAAAGGTCAGTAGCAAAAATTTAGGATATCTGTTTTGTGTAGAAATTTCAGCACCTGAATTTATTAGAATGAAATTCTATTTGTTTCATTTTCAGTCGGGTTCAATGGCAGTGACTGCCCTCTGCTGGCCGACTGCTCTCATTAACAGCCTTTCTCTTAGGCATTACACCAGCAGTGTGAACCCTCAAATTCATAATATGCCATTAACAACAAAGCGCTTATGTCATCTTGTCGACACAGACTATGGCGTGTTCTCACTGTCATAGTTTGTGTTGATTCAAGAAAATGAAGACCGATAGTCAAGCAACTACTGCTAGCTGAGCTCAGCTGTTCACTGGCCAGAAAATAAACAAGGCTTCAGCAGGCTGCTCACTGCAACAAATCCTCACTACAGTTTTCAATCTATCAGCAGAGAATCAATGCTCTCCTCATAGAAAATACTGTCCTGGTGCTTCTCCACCATCTAGTTAGTTAGCTAGCAGAGGGGTTGAACTGTTCTGTGACTGAGCACAATATTGCAAATGTCATTGCATAAATTGTGTTGTATGACAAATGGATAAAGCCTCAGTGTTAAGAAGTTTTCGGACCCTCTCTAGACAGACATACAGTAGGATCTTAATAGAGTGGTATATTGCCTGAGTTCCTAGAAAGATCCCTCTGTCCAAGTCCCCCGCCGCTGGCTAGGTTTCTTGATCCCTGCAAAAGATGAAGCAGTGTGAGGAGAGGACGGTGGTGGATGACTTTCTGATCCCTGAATGTAGCAATGCTACAGTCCAGCATTTTACTAATATGAAATTACAAGAGTGTTCAAATATTCTATCAACAGTAAAAGTACTAGTACTGTAAGTAGTACACTGTCAGTAATGACATTAAACTTTAAAGGTTGGCATTATAAGTAAAAGCTTGTAAAAAGCATATGCTGACGTGTAACATTTATAGTACAACACATAGTTCCCAGTGTGTGTGAACGTGCTGGAATGTAAGCAGCGAATAAATGTATCCATGATGCAGTCGTGAACCTGTAAAACTACTTTGTTCACATGATGGTGAACTGATGGTAACCCCTAAAACCGGTTTGAGACATCTCATTATTCCCCAACACCCTACAGGCTTTGTTCTGTCTCTCTCGTGACAGGCTTCCTTTTTCTTTACATTTGTGTGTACTCACTCTCTGTGGTGTAAAGACAACTCAGTCAGGGCTCCCAGAGAATTCAGCTGCTCCTCCAGTGCTATGATCTTCAGCCCGATGTATCCTGATACCAACAGCAGCAAAACAGTCCTGCAAACAGACACGATAACGTCTTGAACGTCTTCCAAAAAGAAAGTACATTGTGCTGAATGTGTCAGAAGCTGAGCGCACAGTCTACGATGGATAGATACGTTACAGTCCTAACAGTACGAGATCAGTAAATAGTATCAGCGTGGAGCCGGAGTGAACAATGCGTAAGAACATTTAGATAAACCACATTCAGGATTGGGTTTTTTTTTTCCCTCTGGAGAGCCAGTCCAGAAAGTTAACACACCAAACCACATCTGGGTGTATGTTTCATAAACACTATGTATGTTGGATCTGCAAAGAATTCTGCCTAAAACATCAGGCAAGATGTTGGGCTGAAGGCCATGCCTGGCAACACAGGCAGAGAGGAAGGTTGCCTTAAAGTCTCAGTTTAAGGAATAAAATCCCTTGTAGGGTTAGGTGGTCTCCTCCTGTTTTCCATTAACAGCAATACTGGTCAAGTGTCCACAGCTACATAGACAGTGGCAGAGGAAGTATTCAGATTCTTTATGTCAGTAATACCACAATATAGAAATACATGCATAACAAGTAAAAGTCCTGCACTCAAAATTTTAAGTAGAAGTAGAGCTGTTTAATCAGATGAATATTTTTAAAGTATCAAAAGTAAAAGAAATGGACCCTGAGCATTTGATTTATACACATGAAAAGTTTCAAACTACAAAGTAACTACTAATGTAAGCAAAGCAAAATGAACAGCTTTATCCTTATCTCTAAATTACAGTCAAGTAGAATTATAAAGTAACAAAATGAAAATTCTATATTGCCTCAAAACTATACTTTGTAAATAGACTGCTACATAAAACCACTGGAGAAATAACAACACCCACAGCAGCACGTAGATGTAGAAGAGGATGCCGTGATTCCTAACGTCTGTGAGTAAGGAGAACGGTGCGAGCCTCTCAGTGAGTCTCCACATCCACGATACAGCTGGTTGAGACAAAAATCATCAACCTGTTACTGTATCAAGGCACTCTATGCCTTATGGGTAAGCCAAGGAGATATGACAGTACTTGTCTGTCAGTTTGTGAGGGTTTACACACACCTCTGTCGTCTTCATTGGTGAAGCTGCTTTGACGAGTGGAAATAAATCTTATGGGGCCTGTAACGGTACAAAACGTTCAGCGATAGTGTCAAGATATTGCAGCTTAGCAGTAACACATGCAATGTATGAAATGAAGGCACTAATGAATTAAGATACTTTCCCCTCTGACACACAACGAAAAGCATTAACACACTGCTTTCTGTCTCTTTCATTTTCCCCCTCACCTTCTCCAAACATCTGATGAGATCCGTTGTCAAGATTAACGCTGCTTTGTCGGCTCAGATCGTGATCTATGCTGTCCTCCAAAGGGGTTAAACTGGAGGCCTGTAGACAAGGACATGGACACTGAAGCATGAAGTCTGTCATCTTGCCTGTGATTTTTTTTTTTTGCTTTAACCTACCACATCATCATTCCCTGCAGAGCAGAGAAGAGCGCTGCTGTTTAGACTCTCCCCCTGCTTCAGACGACCACAGAAAACACAGTTTAAAAAAAATCCTTTGTTTGACAAGTTACTGTCATTGTGTGCATGCATATTTCAGCACCTGTGAGTTTGAGCAGACACTCTGGAGGATTTTGGAACACATCTCACGGTCCCTCAAAGACACTAACGAGTACTGTCAAAGGAAAAAGGCAGAGGAAAGGGTTAAACCCGTAACAGAAACAAACTGTGTGTGTCCTCCGTGTATGGAAAGTCGTTTAAAGTCTTCGTTTGAAAAGCTGCCATTTTCACTGTAAGAGTAAGAATCAGTTTCCTTCTAGTTTTGAAAGCAATGAACCCATCTGAGTCAAGATGCATTAGTGTTAAGTTTAATGAGTTTATAGATCTGATTATTTAATGATAAGTTTAATTAGTTTTTTTAAATATTAAAAGTTATTTTCATGATACTATTAAAAATAACTATACTATCAATTCAATGCTTAAGGAACAAGTAAAGAACAGGAGCCAACATCACATTCCACGGCATTCAGGGATAGTGTCAAGTAAACTTACTGTATTTTTAATCGGCTTCCTATCCATCATCTACACTTCATCTTCATCATACTGTACATCAGTCATGCAATAATGGCGTCAAATTAAAAGATTTCTTAAGTTCAAAATGACATTTTTCTCAGTGGAAAAATAAAGAGCCATTAAACAAACAAACAAACAAAAGCAGCTGACCTTCCCTCCATCCACAGTTTGAATAGACAACATGGACAAAGCCGTGTTATTTTTCTTCACCTCCCTGATGCTGGGCGTAGGTATCACCAGCTGTGGTGAGAAAATAATAATAATAATAATTCTTGGTGCCTTCACAGCCTTAAAGAGGACAGTACAATCATATTACACATTCTCACTGAGATCTGAAATGTACACAAGCATATGTCACAGTTACTAAACTCATTTCTTTTTATGCGGTCAGTCCTTGATATTAGGATAAAAAGCCCAAATCCTGGGGATGAAAGTGAACTTCGAGGACAGCTGATATTAATGTCGATTGCCTCTTTTCAACTTCAGGGACATGTGAGCCATAACGGCTGTCCTGCCAAAGCGAGGTGTTACTAGAAAATTAAAAGCAAATCAGCTCAGTGGGCCTGAAACGTGACTCTGAATCTGAGCAAACCCACAGCTGAGTTCCACAGCTGTTATGACAGTTCAGTGTTAATTATTTTCACCAGTGTGAATTGGGCTTCAACTTAATGTATCCGAGTGCATTACCTTGGTGTCTTTGAGCAGAACGGCTGAGTGGAAGCAAACATGGCGCTCAGAGACAAAGAGTTTCCCAAGATAGAGCACCTCCTTCTGCAAGGCGCAGGTGAAGGCTACAGCAAAGAGATGCACACACACACAGTGCGAAGTCACAAAAGAGACACACCTGCTGAATCGCTGACTGAATTGTTTCAACTCGTCATTCGCTGCAGACCATTTGGCAAACAAAGCATTAGGAGCAACAGCAGGAAACAGCGAAGGCATCAGGGGCAAAGTGACAAAAGGACACATTTCCATAATCAATACCAACAAATACGTAACAGAGCAGCTCCACTCACTTTGTATCAGGTTCTCTCCCTTGGGAACATCTGGGAACAGTTTGTGAAAGGCTTTATTGTGCTTCTGGAAGCTCTGCAGAGAGGAAAGACTGAGGTGTTGTGAAGTGTGACAGTGAACCCAAACATTAAAACTAAACAATGGGATGAAACTATAAAATGTTGTCGATACAGTAATTCGATACAATGTGATCATAAAAAACTGATTTCCAAAAGAAATGCATTGTACTTCTAGGGGCAAGGAAATGTAGAGTGGTTGACTGGGAGTCTAAACACACACCTACAATTTCACGCTGGCCAAACAAAATCTCAAGCTATACTCCTCTTAATAAAGTTTACTATAAGCTTCATTATAAAGAGGAAGACATTCTGAAAATGTGGCTTTCACATATGGAATTCTTGGAAAATTGTGTCGCTAGGAAAAGGGTCTCAGCTGCTTTGTTAATGTTACTTTGATACATTTTGGAAATATTTATGTTTTTACTATTTATGCATTTCAATTTTTATTGTTGATGTTGTTTGTTTTATGCAACTCACCCAAGGGGGTGGCTTGGATTTTAGAGTAGGGAGAGAAGAATTTAAAATAAGGAGGAATACATAAAACAAAATATTGATTACAGCTGATTTTATTCTCCCCGAGCAGCGAAAACACACACATACACGATACAGACTTACATGAGTGCTGATGGGTTTGTTTGATTGCTCAAGGCTCCCCTCTGCTATGGCATGTTTCCTGAGGACACAAAGAGGTCAAATGCACCACGCTCACACCAATGTAGTAAGACCGTCTTCAGGACTTTGGGTGCACTTTTAAAATTATGAACCATCTTTTGTTCTGTTTTTATCCTAATCCCAGTGCAGTGTTGTAGTCTACCTGAGGGAAATGCTGGAATCAAGGCTGTGATTACGCCGGATCTCCACTTGGGCATCATCCAGACTCTGGCTCGGTTTAGATTTCTTACTCATAATCCCACTGATGCCTCTTCTTATGCCAGATCCGTCTACACTGCTGTCCCAACAGAGCAGGAGATAAAAGTCAACACTGATGATCCAGAGTTCATATGATGAATAAAGAAGTCATGCAAAAATACAAATAAATGTCTGTTTCTTGTGGGAACACATAAAGGGTTAGATTTAAACAAGCTGGTTGCAGACATTTCATTTTCTTCACTTTCATTATCTGCCTCAGGTGAAGGTCGATTTTCCACATTCTTGCTTGTTAGAATCCAGTCTAATCTCTGGAAGTTTAAATTAGTTTCTTTATGTCAAAACAAAAAGTGAAACTAGTTACAACGCACTTGAAACACCTCTGTATATACCGGCTTTGCTGATTTCCTCCCTCTGCTTAGGTTAGCTGTCACTGCATTTGACCTGTGGTTAGTCTGTAGTCTCTGGGCAACAAGGGTCTCCGGTTAGGGGCCGCACTTTTGTAAGCCAGTAGCTACAAACACTAAAAAGTAACTTCTTAGGGTGACTGTGGTTCAGTGGGTAGAGCAGTCCTCTCCCAAGCGGAGGGTCAGAGGTTTGAATCTTGGTGCCAGCAATCCACATGTGTGGAAGTGTCCTTGGGCAAGACACTGAACCCCCCGAGTTGGTGCCGCAGATGGCTGCCTCGGTTCTGTACCAGAAACAAATTCCTTGTGTGTAACATACTTGGCCAAATAAAGGTGACTATTATTCCATAGTGCACATCTGGTGCTTAGACGGACTTGGTTGCATGGTGTCCAGCTGTAAAAGATCAGGACTGTTGCTCTTGTTTCAACATCTTACAATAAATACAAGAGGGACAGTGAGAGACAAAAAGAGAGAGTAAAGCAGACAATATAAATATTTGTACTCACACTGAGCTGTCCAGTGAGAATTTTCTGAATTTAAAATTCATAATCAAAAGCAAATGCTTCCAGCTAATACACATGCACCTGCTGCCACACATCCATACTTCCAGTGCAAGACAATATCTCAATCTTCTCTGCTCTCAGGGTTACAAACTCAATGAAAGACCTTGACTGTGAGTTGCTGGCTTTATTTCCTGGAGGCAGCGCCAAAGCAGCAAGGTGCAGGCAAGAAGCCGCCTACTGTAATGACTTAGGATTGGCTTCTTATTGTTCAGTCAGCCAATCAGCTGTGAGAGGTCGGAGCTTTCCCTGAAACTAAACCGATCAACGAGAAAAAGGCCACAACATTCTGTTCTCCAAGGCAACTGTTACAATGGGTGGCACCTTTTGAAACACTAGTTAAGTTTACCCAGGTGTTTCATTGTTCCTAACTGATGTGCAAAGCTCCATAAATCCACAAACATTATATTCAAAAAGTTTATATTTCTTAAAAACATTAAAAATACCTTTGCACACTCAATGGCCACTTTATTAGGTACACCTGTATGCAATTGTTTCAGTTTTTGGTGAAATTGTCATTAATGTATAAATTCAATTATATGTTTATTAGTGATGTCATAGTTAAAGGTGGTGTTGTACAGGACTACATTATATTTAGATGTGTCTCTAATTTTGTCCTCCCCAGCTATGTAAGTGAGAGGGTCAGAATATTAGGAACACCTCTGAATATGATGTAGTCCAGTACAACACCACCTTTAACTATGACCTCAATAATAAACATATAATTGAATTCATACATTTATGACAATTATAAACACAGATGTGAAGGTAGAGGTGTTGCACTGAATTGCAGACAATTGTACAGGTGTACCTAATAAAGTGGCTGGTGAATGTATATTTTCATTGACACATGTACAGTGGGTACGGAAAGTATTCAGACCCCCTTAAATTTTTCACTCTTTGTTCTATCGCAGCCATATGCTAAAATCATTTAAGATCATTTTTTTCCTCATTAATGTACACACAGCACCCCATATTGACAGAAAAACACAGAATTTTTGACATTTTTGCAGATTTATTAAAAAAGAAAACCTGAAATATCACATGATCATAAGTATTCAGACCCTTTGCTGTGACACTCATATATTTAACTTAGGTGCTGTCCATTTCTTCTGATCATCCCTGAGATGGTTCTACACCTTCATTTGAGTCCAGCTGTGTTTGATTATACTGATTGGACGTGATTAGGAAAAGCCACACACCTGTCTATATAAGACCCTACAGCTCACAGTGCATGTCAGAGCAAATGAGAATCATGAGGTCAAAGGAACTGCCTGAAGAGCTCAGAGACAGAATTGTGGCAAAGCACAGATCTGGCCAAGGTTACAAAAAAAAATTCTGCTGCACTTAAGGTTCCTAAGAGCACAGGGGCCTCCATAATCCTTAAATGGAAGACATTTGGGACGACCAGAACCCTTCCTAGAGCTGGCCGTCAGGCCAAACTGAGCTATCGGGGGAGAAGAGCCTTGGTGAGAGAGGTACAGAAGAACCCAAAGATGACTGTAGCTGAGCTCCAGAGATGCAGTCAGGAGATGGGAGAAAGTTGTAGAAAGTCAAAGAAAGTCAACCATCACTGCAGCCCTCCACCAGTCGGGGCTTTATGGCAGAGTGGCCTGACGGAAGCCTCTCCTCAGTGCAAGACACATGAAAGCCTGCATGGAGTTTGCTAAAAAACACCTGAAGGACTCCAAGATGGTGAGAAATAAGATTCTCTGGTCTGATGAGACCAAGATAGAACTTTTTGGCCTTAATGCTAAGCGGTATGTGTGGAGAAAACCAGGCACTGCTCAGCACCTGTCCAATACAGTCCCAACAGTGAAGCATGGTGGTGGCAGCATCATGTTATGGGGGTGTTTTTCCCCAAATGCAGGTGTGAAAAACTTGTTGCATCATTCCCGAAAAGACTCATGGCTGTATTAGCTCAAAAGGGTGCTTCTATTAAATACTGAGCAAAGGGTCTGAATACTTATGACCATGTGATATTTCAGTTTTTCTTTTTTAATAAATCTGCAAAAATGTCAAACATTCTGTGTTTTTCTGTCAATATGGGGTGCTGTGTGTACATTAATGAGGGGAAAAATGAACTTAAATGATTTTAGCATATGGCTGCAATATAACAAAGAGTGAAAAATTTAATGGGGTCTGAATACTTTCTGTACCCACTGTATATCAGTGACACTGACGCTCTCTTTGATAACCGCTTTGTTAATTCGCTGGTCATCTTCATTTTTACACTTAGTGCTCATACACTGTATATGCACTAGAATAAAATATCAAACATTTGAAAAAGTTGAAACCAGTGGTATAAATTAACTAAGTACATTTAGTCAAGCACTTAAGTACAGTTTTGACATAGTTGTACCTTACATGGCTATGTCAACATGCTTCTACAATTCAGAGGCAAATACTGTATATTTTGCTCCATTACCTTTGTCACAACATCAGTTACTACTTATTTTGAAAAATTCAAATTAATATCTAGTGGTGTCAACTGATTAAAATATTTAATTGTGATTAATGGCATGATTGTCCATAGTTAACTTGTGATAATCGCATTTTAAAAAGATCTGTTCTAAACAGTGGTGGAAAGTACATTTACAAACTGTGCTTAAGTACAATTTTGAGGTATCTACTTCAGTATCTTCATTTTATGTTACTTCATACTTTGACTTCATTAAATTTTTAGAGGCCAATACTGGACTTTTTACTCCACTAGATTTCTTTTATACCTTTAGCTACTAGTTACTGTTCAGATCCCGATTAATACAAAAATACTGCATAATTATAAGACCTCACTGATCTGAAGTGGAAAATTCACAAGCTACCCAGCAGTAATTCAAATTAAATGCATATAAGCTCATTAAAACTAGCTCCCCCTTAACCAACTGCATGCAACATTAAATGTGATGTACACAATAACGCATCAGTAATTGTAATGCAATAAAATGATATACAGGAATTTGAAATGTGCCATTCTGCATTGAGTACCTTTACTTTTAATGCTAATACGTTTGTACTTTTACCTAAGCAACATTTTGAATGCAGGAATTTTACTTGTAACAGAGTATTTTTACACCGTTGTATTGCTCATTTTACTGAAGTAAAGCATCTGAGTACTTCTTCCATCACTGGCTCTAAATGCACCTTCATGGGACCCTGGGGTGACTGTGATTACTGAGATAAGTCCAGTGGTCTCTGGTGGACACAGCCGTGTTTGTCTGTCCCGACGCCTCCTGCACTTTAACTTTCTCATCTTCATACAAGTTGTGTGTCTTGGGGACAGTGGTGGCTTTCGAAGACAATTCATAAGTGGAGCCTGGATGCGATGCGGATTATTTCAAGCAGACCCTCGTCCTCCACAATGTTAATCGGTCTGCGAGCTGCAGGCACCATTTAGCTATCGCCGTTGAAAGTTTGTTGCTTGTAGAGTTGTCCAAGCGTCTCCGTTGCAAATATCCAGCGTGGTCTGTGTTTGGCGGGTTGGTCAGTAAGTGATACACAAGACTCAACGTTCTCCAGTGGGAACATCTATTCACATCGACAGTGAATGTAAGTAACTTTGGCCTTGTCAGGAGAACCATACGGCAGAGTTTTGAAGCTCAACTTGTCACTTAAAAGACTATTTTCTTTAGCAATTTCTGCTCAAGGAGGTTTGTTTGTGCTTACAATCCACACCGTTACTGCCACAACACTTCCTGAGTTCCCAAACTACGGGGCGAGCCGAGGGTCATCATTACAGAAACTGACAAACTACCCAGGGTAGTTTATGCCAGATATCCTTATTTTGATCTTTTGTATTTAATTGGATTTTTAAAAAGATAATGAATACACGTGTACCCAAATGCATGCAATATGATATATGCAGCATACTTATTGTTTGTAATTGCAGCCTATCACAACAGTGTCAGCAGTTATTTAGACAGAAGGTCATTTTCATTTTGGAACATGTAAGCTATTTAGGCCAAGCCCATTTTTTGTGTTGCACTGTCAAACCACAGGTAATCATAGGTCACACGGTGTTGTTCCAGGTGTTTCTCTTACACTCACCTCCACCTTTGTCTCTGTGTGCAGCCCAGAGTGCTGAGTTGACCCTTGCTGTTTTATTATGATTTGAAATGAAAGGATTTAGTAACTTTTACCAGCAGTCGTTACCAGCTGATACTGTATTTAGCATTCTGAAGCAGTTTTGGTTGTGCTAAATGTATGAAGTTTGATTTACATTTGCAGTCTACAAACATAAATAAGATGTCTTTTGAGGTTCTACAGGTAATGTGTGGTGCAAAAATATAATGTAAAACTTTTCAAATGAATTGGTATATAATACAGAAACATTTTAACAATAAGCTTTTATAACAGTTTTCATTGTTTCATTTGCAAGCCACATGGTGATATATCATTTTCAGAAAAACATCATTTGTGCTCAGCAAGCGTTGGTTCAGGGCAGGGTCATGCTGACCTTCATGACTTGTCTCTGCAACTGTCACTACAGGAGACCGAAAACAAAACAGCTACTTGCATAAAAGCTAAAGGTCCCTCATACAGGTGAATGAGGCTCTTATTCTCTAACTACTGAAGGTGTAAAGTTACTGGGCCTGTCTCAACACTTCTCAAGAAAGAAATAGTATAGGTTAGTCACGAAAGCTTTCAAATAACCATTCATGTATTATCCTGTGATTGACAGAACAATACAGTCCTTGCACGCTCCTTTTTATTGCCCTCCTTATAACTTAAAAACATAATATACAGTACATGGCTCTCTGAGAGAGGAGTAGGAGAGTTAACTGATCATACTCAGTAACCAGGAACACACAGTACTCTTCTTCAGGTGCAGAAGCTCTTCTTATCAACAGACAGATCAGTCTGGAACACTAAGATTATGCTGCTATACGTGACCTTTCACAGGCAAGGGACTCATATCTTGTATGTTCTGAAAAATCAAGTACGTGTAGAACTATGCTGAGATTAGATATATCCCACATGAGCCTTATTTTTACTGCCTTACAGCTGCTTACATCTGCTCAAGCATGTGAGTGTGTGACCTGCTCTACTGAAAACTCACATCATCAGTCATGCAAGGAGCAACTGTCGTGTTCATGCCATTATGCCAAAATCCAAGTTGAAATTATGACTGGAGCTTTTCTGAAAGGTCTAGTATATCTGACTTGGTACTTAATAATACACAAATGCCTGAATGTCAGACAAATATGTACACCTTACATCAACCAAAAACAACTGTTCAGTGTATTTGAACCTGAATATGACGGCATTGTATTGTCATTCCACAATATTTATTCTTGTATTACTGTAAAGCAGCAGCAGAAGTTGCAACAGGATATAATTTTTGCCTCCTGGTTGCAGAAAAGAGACAAAAGTTGAGTTGAGTTCCCAGTCATTTGCTTTTCTAAGAGTCATTTTGTGTAAAACAGTAAAACCTGGGTGCAGGGACTTGAGTGCATTTTACTGTGGAGTTACTTCGGCCTCACCTAGTGGACAAGGAATGAATAACACCAAAGGACAAAAGCCCACAGAAACAAGCGGCTCATTGTGCTGTATAGCCAATCATCCTGCTTTTAATACAAAGTCAAGATACATTATCTACATCCATTGTTTGAAAGGAAAGAACAGGTACATAAGTGAGGAGGATGGCATCACCATAGCTGGCCCTCAACATATTTCATATTATGTTTTGTGTGTGTCTTTATATTTCTCTTGACACAATAATCATTAGAAATTGAAGGAATAACATATTTCATATATGTCACACATCATCAAGACTTCTGGACCACACAAAAGTTAATAGAATAATTTCAGATTTAAAGAATAGCTTTTAAAGGTGTGTTGGGCGATTCTTACCCATTCTCTTTCAAAAATACACTTGCTACCATGTGCTTTCCAGCAAAGAAAATACCGACAGCTTGTCTGAGCTTTTCACCAGCAACTCTGCTCTATAAATCTAATTTCTCTGGTGCAAAAAACTATCACGGCAGGGTGGGATCATACCTCCCTTGCTATGATTACACCACTACCGTTGCTAGCGAGGGGACAGGGCATCACTGTAAACTCAAACTAACTCTGCATCTAATGTACATCTCTAGTTAACTAGTCGGACATCAGTAATCAGTATCAAATAGCACCCTACACATAGGGTGTACTTCATAATAATAAAGCAAATTAAAAAAGCACCAAAACCGACCACTAAAAGTAAAAAAACAAACAGTGATGGTATCGTACTTTAACATTGGCTCGCCAAAAAACAAGTAAACAACATCTCATTGGTAATAGTGGCTAGATATCCCAAATAAATAATTAAAAACAAACATAAAAAGTAACAAAATAGGATAATATACATCTTAAAAAAATCATATGAAATAACAATGACAAAGTGAACAATAACAATAAGGCTTTTTTTTTGCGACAATAAGAACTACATCACATCCAATCCCACATTATATCTTGTGCTCAGACATATATAACTGCACTGTATAGGACTCCAATGATAGACTGTATGTACAAAATCTGTGAAATCGCCTGAAAATGGCTGATACACCGGATCATCTCTGTGCTCTTCAATCACCACGTGGGACCAATTATGATTATATGACAAATCAAGAAACAATATATATCAATATCAAGGACTTGTGCAGTTGTACTGGAGTTAAACGAAGGGGAAAACATCAGTCGGTTAAGTTGGGATGTTCTGTACAGTGTAATATAGGGACAGAGAGCTTTGCAGTTGAGCTTATATGGAGGCAGAAAAGGGGGAGAGGACTGTTCAAAGTGAGCAATTCACCACTTGAATCTTTTATGGATTTTTCTCATAATCTTTCATTGCTCAAAATAAAATATATTTATCTGCAAAGTGGTGCACTTCAAGTAGGTAAGTTTAAGAGGAGGAAGATGATCAGGAAACAACTTTCATCCTCAAGTTAAGATACTGCATGACAATAAAAATTTAACACACAATGCATGAAGAATTAAGCATGTTAAAACACAAGCAACAGGTCGGCATAAGGCAAAGACGTACAGTAAAAACAGACACCTCTGGAGAAATGGGGTGAGAATGGTTTTAAATTCAAGAAATAAAGGGATCAGAACTCTTTCATTAGCATCTCTTTCAATATGTCACTGTTGGAATTGACACAATGGAACTGACATCAAGAGGAGTTGAACTGGAGGGTGAACAATGATTATAGCAAATATAGCAAGCGAGCTTTGTTGAATGAAGAATGCACTGGACTACAAACCTCAGCCCAGTGGACGATATGATGGCCTCTAATTACTGCTCTGAGGCCAGCTGTTACTGAGTGAGGACACGAGTGGGAAGTATGAACTGATCCTTGGCCAGTGTTTAAGAGTGGTCTCTAGTCAGACTTTGTGTTATGCTGGATCAGAGAGGGAGCCATCTCTCCTGGTGGGCTGCAGTTTATGTTCACGCTGCATGGTTTCTCTTGGCACTGTGCGTCGGGTAAATGAGCATCCACATGCTTCTTCAACAGTCCTCAGGGTGGTGAGTCCTCACTGTAGGCTTCTGCTGAGGCATCGTCTATTCACCTGCTTTAATTTATCATCAGAACTACCTGCAGTAGTACAGTAGTAGACACCTTTGAAAGACTTATAGACACATAGAAATGTTCACCTTTGCACTTTGTAACCCCTTAATACACCAAACTAATAGATACAAAGTTGAGGATAAAAAGCCCATGTAGGGTGCAGCAAATATCCAGGCTCTTTGTGTTTTGTTTTTTTTGTTTTGTTTTTTACTTTTTGTAGTTTATACACTTAAAGTATCATAATTCCTGTTCAGAAGCCAGAAGTATTTCACTGGTTCATATTGGAGATAGCTGACCACAACACACATGTATTATACGTCCTTCACACTGGAACACTGAGGTAAGTATATGGATTACACATGGACAGTCTCCACACCCACCAGCTCCTCGTCGGAAGTTCCTGATGAATGTGGGCGCTGTTAGACACAGATTTCTCGTAGGTGTATTTGTTGTTGCTTTTTGTCGTTGTTGGTGTAGATGTCCACTTTGAATCTCGCTCCCGGAAAACGTCCAATGTTCGTGTTATTTTAGGCTGTCGTTCTCTTGTTTCACTTGTTCACTCAAAGATGGATGGATGGTTGTAGCTTCACTTATGTTGCATAGTGGTCAAAGCTACCCAGGTACTCAAGGGCAGCCTGGTAGCAGAACTGGTACTCATCCTGGGAGACAGAGACATAAAGACATGGGTAGCCTTTATGAACAGAACAGAATTCAGACAAGTAGGCTGGGCCCAAATGATTTATCACTTTATAGACTAATAATAGGACCTTACTCGATCAATTCTAAAAGCTAGGGGTAGCCAGGATAAAGAGGCAAGAACTGCTGTAATATGGTTTCTCCCTTTTTTCCAAGTAACTAGCAGCAGAATTAACTGCAATCTTTTTATTAATGTACCAGGAAGACCTGCTAAAATAGCACTGCAATAGTCAAGCCTGCTAGTTATAAATTATAATATTTTGTAGCTAATATGGTAGCAATGGTATGGCAACATTAAACCCTGACTTTATGTTGGGGATGTTGTCATATCTAAAAAGTGTTAACATGTATTACAAGTTGTCTGTGCAGATTCTCATTCATCCAGATCATAGAAGCTGAAAAAGCCCCCAACTGGACTAGGTTTTTAGGTCGAAGACGTTTCACCTTTCATCTAAGAGGCTTCATCACTTCTGCCCGACTGGCATTGAGTCGGAGATATTTATCCCCATCAGTGGTGTTTCAGTTCTTTGATGGCCAACAATGTCCCCGAACGACGACTGAGTCGTTATAGCCCAGTATCGGTGAGCGTCATATGTATCTATTACATACATCGTATGTATCACAAGTGTTTTCTGTTTTTATTTTTATAATTTGCAACATCAATTTGAAAGGTCTGTTAAAGAAAAATGTATTTCCATTCTTGGTGATGTTTTAAGGGTTGAGAGAACTGTATTATTTATTATTTGTTTGTTTTATTAATTCATGAAAAGCTGAAGTTTTTGAGACACAAGGACAGGGACTACAGTGACAGTTGTATTTGTGGATTTGTATTGAGCTTATACAAAACGTTTCCCTTGTTCTGATTAGGACTACGCATTTGTGAAACTGATGTGAGATTTAAGTCAGACAGCAAGCATGGATGGTATGTTTAGGATATTCAAACAGTAGAAAACTTCATTATTCATCATTAGTAATAAAGAGTAAGACAGGCAAAACTTTTATAGATATGCCTACTTTAAGGAAATCAAATAAAATTGGTCAAATATCAACAACAACAACAAAAAAACTGAATAGCTTGTTGACCGACAGTAATGCAGCTTTAACCAACACTGTGCAGCAGCAGCAGCAGCTGCGCTCGCCTTGCTTGTGTCTCTACCCTGCTTAATGAATTGGTAAGTTCCACCTGGGACTCAGTGTTTACCTCAGTCTGCACCATGGCTGGCCTCTGTGTCCGGAGCATTTTCACAGTCTGGAAAATGTCCACCGCCCCTTCGTAACGCATCCTTTCCAGGACAATACTCAGAGTGATGAAGACGCCTGTCCGGCCCACGCCAGCGCTACAGCCGAAAGGAAAACGTATCAGAGCTGTGACAGCAGCAAGCTACATCCTGACAATCCTCCTGATCATGCACACAAGGGCTCAGTTAAGCTTCACCCAGATGCTGACCTGCAGTGAACGCTGATTGGTCCATCCTGGCCAAACTGCTCCTTGGTTTTGTGCACCTGGCCAATGAAATCGATGAAGCCTTCCCCGGATTTGGGCACGCCTTGCTCTGGCCAGTCGGTGAACTGGAACTGACGCACCGTGCGCGATTGGCCATCCTGAAGGAGTGTGAAAGAAATAAGAATAATATCATGTCAATATCAACAGAAGACCTGCAGGATTGTCTCAAAGTGCATCTGACATCTTGCCATAACATATTGAGATGCTTATTTTGAAATATGTAATTACTGTTAACATGGGGTGTTTATTTCAGATATACCGTTTTAAGAGCTTTCTGCTGTACTGACAGAGGAGTGAGACTCTGCCAGGCAATATCCTTTTTCCTTCTAATGATTATGGTTATCTGACCCAGGATCAGTGGCTGTGGTTAACTTTAAGCCGTACCGTCAGTATGTCCTCTATTGTCAGGCACTCAATAGGCAATTACATCTTTTCTCTTCTGCTCAGCCTTTCTGACTCCCCCTTTAATGGAGATCAATAGAGCATCCTGTCAATGTGGCGTCAGTGTGGGACAAGCTTAACTGGACTTATCTATGACTGGCACATATGTGCATGGGTGAAAGAGCACACACAGCCTTTCTCTGTCTCTAACACACACACACACACACAAGCTGTCAAGATAATCTGGAGAGAGCATGGTTGAGTGAGTAATCTAGGGTGGTTTGTCGATAGTGCTGCCCGGTGTGTTATGTACACACATTCACATACAAAACACACACTAATCAACACACACTACAGGTCGATAGGACATGCTTTGCGCCACTGCCTTCTAACAGCACTGATGCTTTGGGAATAGAGCAGAAAAGTTAAGTAGTGTAAGGTTACACTGCCATCTGGATAAAACACAGGAACAAGGATTTAAAAACACAAACACCATGAACCCACCCTGGCATCTGTAACTTTGAACTCTCGGAGAATGTACTGAGGCATGTTGTACTCTGCCATGGGATCCACCACAAAGTACTGGTACCTGGCTGAGCGTTCAGCCGGCCAGTACTGGTGACACTTCTCCTGAGAGGGTAAAACAGGAGAAAAGAATTGATGACATTGTGGACAGGGCTGAAATCTGCTGTTGTTTGTAACACTTTGTGTGTTTGTTTTTTGTCCATACCCGTCCCATTTCTCTCAGTTTAGTGAGCATGACCACTATAGTGGAGTTGTGTTCCCATAGCATCCTCCAGAAATCCTCTGTAGTCTCAGCCAGTGGACCCTGGGTGGCAATGTATCCCCTCTGCTGCCTACAAACACACAAACACACACACAGTGAAGCCACCTCCTCCTTTCATTCTCTTTGTTTCTTATTCTGTCAAGCATCAAACTGAAAAGACGGTCAGACTTCAGGCAAGAAGAGGAACGGTCAAGACATGTGTACAGTACACCCACTCTAAAGGCCTGACTCATCAGAGGTTCTCCAACATCCCTCTCTTTCACTGGGACTGAAGTGAGGGCCGTGCAGAGAGACAGAGAGTGGGAACATGTATACTGCAATACCAGATCTGACAGGACTTGGCAGGTGAGAGCACTGTGGTGAAAACCTATCCAATTCATTCACTCATCAAGTCATCATAAGAGGACAAGGGGGGTCAAGTCATATTTGTGTTTGTGGGAGAGAAACATACCTGTATCCATCAATGTAGCTGGCGTTAATGTAGTCGGAGCCCTCCAGGCCTCTGATTGGCTGGAGGCAGACGCGGGTGGTTTCATAGGGCATGATGTTGACCAGTCGGTTCTTGAATTTGTTGCAGGGCAGGTTGGCTGTGACAAACCGGGATGTGTGGGCTTTGGTATTAGCCAGACGCTGGATGGGGAGAAAAAATGTGCATGTAAGATTCATTTTTAATAAAACCTATAGGCTATTATAATATATGGTCTCACAAGAGTGCAGGATTATTCAGATTTACTGTATATGTGTGGTTAGCTCAAACAAAGCAACTGTACTCTATATTCCAGTGGTTCTCAATCTGGGGTCTCAAAATAAATTTGAATTTGTCAGGAACGGAGAAAAAATATTTTCTGTCACACAAGATTTAATTTAAAAACTTTTCCCTGGACTCTCACTTACCTTAAACTCCAGCTCCATGCCAGTGACATGCTCTCCGCTCTCCACCTTGGACAGCTTCTGCATGTAGGAGTACAAACTCCTGGCTGCCACCTCAGTGTTTCCACAGGCCACAGCCTCCAGCAGGGCCTCATGGATGAAGCTGTACTGGTCCTCCGTCTGCACCATGTAGTTCCTCTGCGAGCGCATCAGGGTCACGTGGCCATAGATATCAACTGTGCGCTCGTGTCGAATCCGCTCCAGCATGGCATCAATAACGATAAAACAGCCGGTGCGACCAACACCGGCACTGAAGCAAGAGCAGTGAGGATGTGAGTTTACTAGTAGAGAAGAGCTTATTTTTAATATTTTGTTTAAAATTTTTAGGAAACACACTTATTCACTTTCAAAATTAGGTGAGAAGATTTATACCACTTTCATGTATATATAGTAAATATGAAGTTAGCTTAGCTTAGCATAAAGACTGGAAATGGAGCAAAGTTGGTAGCCTAACTCTGTCTAACATTTAAAAAAATCCAGTGTTAATGTCTGTAATCACTCTGTATTTATTATTTAATGCATCTAAATTCATGTTTATTCAGCCTCTGCTAAGGGTCTGAAATCTCAATTTACTGCTCACTATTTATTGAGTGTCTATTAAATAAGGTGTAGTGACCATCTCATTACACATACAGACTGATTCTTGGCCGGATGCAGTGACTCCCTGGAGTCTCTGCTGTTTCTAGCTGCTTCCCCTGCTTTCCATCTTTAAACCATCTCCTGGATCTATTTTCATATTTAGCATCCAGATATGATAGCAGCATCTCATCTAACACCATCTCTCTGCATGAAAGTGAGTAAGTATATTTTCCCAAATGTCAGACATTGTCTTTAAGGTAAATGTGTGAGTGTGCAAACCTGCAGTGTGCAATGATGGGCCCGGCGTCAGGAGGATTGCAGGCTTTGACCCTGCGGAGGAAGTTGAGGAAGGGTGTGGGGTACTCCGGCACACCGTGATCTGGCCAGGCTGTAAACTGGAACTGACGCACTTCTCTTCGCTCACTGCTGCCACTCTGAGATAAGAAACAGGCAGAAAAGATTGTGTTTACACCTGTGAGCTTCATCCTCCCTCTCAACTCCCTCTTCATTATTTAATTTTACTACATAACAATGAACGAGTAGTTAAAGGGATTTTTTTGTTTTGTGAATTTTAGTCACAAATGTCATGACCAGCTTCCTTTATACAGTACTTTCAATAAGCTTTTAAATAGTCCATGAAAACCTACCTACAGTACATACACTATATATAACCCAGATATTCTATCTATCTATGTATTCCATCTGCAAGAAAGACAAATTATAGTAGCATTACTGGATATTTGATGTATATTATTCTATACTCCTTGACGTATATTTGACTGTGATGTTTCACAACGCATCAAGAAAAATCTAGAGAGCACTTGGAAGCTACACTTGGCCTAGTTTCTGTGTTTCTAAGTAGGCCAGAGAGACATGCTAGTCTGACAGTCCTAGATGTGCCCTGTGCTATAAGAAAATGCTCTGCCTCCAACAGTGATCACATCTCTGACACAGGGAAGCTGGCCTGGTTTGAATCCTCCATGAAACCCACACTAATCTACTCTCCTCTGAGTGTCTGCTCATTCTGTGATGACAGAAATTCATGATTACTCCAGTTGCTACTAGTTTTTGACTGTAAACTCCAGAGATCAACACATTTTCAGTGGATGTGACAGGAAAGGGCAAAGAGGGGTGGTCATGGGTAGACAGAAGAGGAAAAGAGCAAATTAATTTACCTTATGCAGGGAAAAGGTGCGAACACAGAAGGTGGCGAGCTCCATTGTGTCCAGCAGGGTGACCTGCAGCATCCCGTACGTCTCTGTGCCGCGACTTGGCCAGTACTGGTCACACTTTATCTACATGGGTATAGGCAAATCATCCTCATCCTCATAATTACTGTTTTTAGACTATAGCAACAATACTCCTCAATTTCATCAAATGTATTAACTGAACAGCGCCTAAAACTATAACATGCAGATAAACATTGCAGCTATCGTCAGTAGGTAAAGACCTGATTTCTTACCCGAGACTTCTCCTCCAGGCGTGTCATCATGACGACAGAGGCAGTCCGCTGCTCCCAGACCATCCTCCAGAAGTCCCCGAATGTCTCCGCCAGTGGCCCCTGGGTAGCAATGTAGGCATTCTGCTTCCGGTAGCCATCAATGTAATTGGCGTTGATGTAGTCACTCCCCAGGATACCTGCAAATGAGAAGCTTGTGAGACTTTTGCTAAATGACAATCTGCATGAGCAGCAATGTATATTAACCTCCATGTAAGACATCAAACAGCCTAACAAACGGTTACTGCTGACAACAGGTGGCTGCTGGATGACTAGTGGACAACAACAATCAAACAAGACTCTGTCGCTGTAAATTCATGAGTCCCAGATCAAATCCACCCTCCTTCTTGTTCTGGATGAGTGCTGGCTGCACTTGAATGCACCTACGCTGTCTTGAGCACAGTTTGCAATTTCATCTGTCATGCAGATCCCCCCACCCCGGAACACAAATATTCTCAGACTCTTCAGTTACAATCTATAAAGATGGATTTTAACTTGCTGTTCTTTTTCAGCTGAGCCTCACCTTCTATGGGAGCCAGGATGACTCTGGTGTGGTCGTATGCTATGACGTTAGCATAGCGGTTTTTGGGCTTGTTGACTTCCAGGTTTGAATGCTCCCAGGTGAACTGCTGACTAGGGTCGATGGACTGAGATGAAACAGCAAATACAGACACATTAACAGTGGGTGGCGGTGTATTTAGTAACGCATTTGAGGATAATGGAAAGGGAGTGCTCTGAAATGTAGGGAAGTTACAGCAATAAACTGCACTACTGAATAAATCATGAACATGTAGTCTGCAAACAGAGATACAAATGTCTAATAAGATCTGCTTTATGGAGCAGAGGCTTAACATCTCCAAACAATAAGGATGTTATCTATTTATTCATATGGAATAATAAGTTATTTCTCACCTCGTACTCCTGGGAGAGTCTCAGGTTGTCATTTGCTTTCAGCAGCTCTATATGCTCCGCCAGCTCGCTGATGGGGATGGGAGGATGGCTCATCATTCCTGTGTGACAACAAGGGTTGGAGGTGACATAGACTTTAGCTGAATAACCTTGATTATCACTCTTATGCAAAGATGTGAAGATAATTATTCAGTCAGAGAAAAACACATATGATTAAGGAACATGCTGAGGCAAAAAAAATCAATTTTGATCCATGTGCAGAGACAAAACGAGGCGCGTCTTGTTCGTTTCTAAATTACTTTTCTTTGATAAATTGCTTTCTATGTGATCAGAGGAGCAACGACTGAAGAAAAAAAACAAAAAAACAGACAGAACACTAATTAGAAGGGTGGCACACACATAGTTGAACACAAACAAAGGAACCAACCTATGCCTCCTACAGTCATTTCTTTTCACAGCTGCAGCAAGGAAAGAGAAACTATTGTGATCCATTCTCCTTTCAAAAGGCAAATAGCTACAACATTAGATCAAAGTATGTACACAATCCATTTAATGCTGAAGTGAGTCTGCATTCTCAGTGAATTATAATGCATGTCGATACCCTATGAAAGCATTTAAGCTGTTACAGTTATCAAAACCAGGCTCATATCAGTGGTTATTTTCTTCTACAGCCTGGCGCTGCAGCACTCGCAGGTAATCATGACAGAACGCTCCTGTCACGACCAAAATGACCTCAGATAGCATCAGCCGGTTTTGGTGGAAACAAATTTCATCTCTGCCAAGCATCTCAAAGGCACAAATCTCAGGAGAGAGAGGTTGGTGAGGAGGGGGCTTCAAGCTTGCTGCCACAAAAAAGTAAAAGAAAATTCTTATGATAGAAAAAAAGAGCTGAAATGCTGCACTATGTGCTTCGCCAGGAATGCGTACCAAAGACCTACAAACCTTCAAATATGTATTAAATAAAATACAGTATCATTTGACATTATATATCCTGTCAGTAAAGACCTTCCTCTATGGTGACACATCCTGCTGCTTTTTCAACAAGCTTCTATAAACTGCAACCATAGGAATATAGTGAGAACAGTGATCAAGTTCCTTCAGGCATGTGTTTTTTGGAATGCTGTTAATTGAATGGAAGAAATGAAAGCACGGCCAAAGCAGCTGTGCTGTTAGATCTCACTCGGTGGGGGTGGGGAGCGGCAACATCCATGTAGCTCCTTCACAGTGAGCTGTTTACTTGGTTATGCCGGCAAGAATAGAGTCAAATCCTTTACAAATTCCTGTATCACAGTTAATCCACAACACACCTTTTGATGTATAATTTTAACTCAGAAACATTCAAGAGTGATAAGACTGATTTCTGTAATTTCTGTCTGTTCAGATGTGTTATCTGCAGCGTGGCATGTGGGGTGTAGGCGGGTAGAGATGCTCAGATTTTGTCACACCGCTATGACTCAACCGTGACTAACCGCTGACGGTACTACCTGGGCAGTGGCCATTTTGATCTCAGAAACAAATGAAAGCTGCCAGGTACATGCTGGCTGGTATGCGGAGGAGTACTACTTCCACAATCTTGTCTGCATAATCTTCCCAAAGTTAAAATTAGATTCATGAATATTTCATAATCAAGTAATGAACAATCAGAAGGATACTTTATCATGCAAATACAAGGTGCATGTTTGGGTACATGGCTCATACCGGGAGTCTGGAAGTTGATGCGTCTCATCTCCACGGGGTCTGTCGGGTGATGGGCCATCATCTCTGCATTGCTCAAAAGGCTCTTAGTCCCTGGTTCTGAGTCCTTGCGCTTGCTTCTCGGTGAGTCAAAAGCACAATTAGCGCATGTAAACAATCAGGAAGCAAAACCTCAGGCACAGTGCTAACACACCATCAGCATGGCTACTTGACTTGAGCAAACACTGCATTAAAAGATATGATGTTTTACTGCTTTGTACAAGTTCTCTGGCAACATGTAATTGCTGTGGTTTAAAAAGAACACTGGTTTAATCTTACCTGTCAGGTTTGCTGATTCCAGTGAAACAAAGGCAAGGGAAGGAATAATTAGAGGAAGAAAAGGAAGGAAACAAGCAGATTGTTAGAGAGGAAAATCTATATTTTGCATTAGTATTCAAAAGCTTGATGGCTTGGAGCACATCTTACAAGCAGGGTCAGACTGATAGATGTCTGAGGGTAGAACAAACTTCTAAATTGGAACAAATCTGATGAATATCAGGCTGAAATGTGAGCATTGTTGAGAGGATAGTCGAACATTAAACAATTTCTAGTACAAGAAGAATCAGTGGGAGCTGCTAGCAGAACTTCATGTGGTTAAAGAGTAAGTCTGGTGATATTCAGTTTATTTTATTGTTAAAGAATCCTAAAAGAAAAACTAACACTTAATTTATCTGACTAACAAGTACTGCCTGTGCAGCCAAAGGTGGGTTTGTGCCATTGACCTCCACTGTTGCTGTGTTGTTAAAAACACATCAGTGACCAGGTGACATGTTAGTTCTGAGCAACAAAGAGGAAACATGTTGAAAGACAAAAGGACACATTATTGCTTAAATATATAAACCGAAAGACGTCCTTCAAGAGTCCTAATCAAAGCTGCCTTGGCGTTTGCCTCCTCTGACCTACACTCCAACTTTGTCTGATGATTGTAAACTTGACATTTAGTTTTTATAGAGTTCACTTCACTCACTTTTTGTAAAGGAGGATAGCGATGACGATGCAGATGATGAAGACCACAGCCAGGACAGGTCCCACCACCCAGATCAGGCCGTCACCTGCGTCGAGGGGCTGAGGGTCTGAATCTGGAGCAATCACTGAATCTGTGTAAGGGCTGGCCACATACATTTTCTGAAAACAAACACACAGGCACACAGTCAGGAAAACTGACTTCAAGACACCTGAGGTGCTGCTGTTTCAGCTTGTCTATTTTATAGATAGGCAGGAATAAGTAATAATAATAATAATAATTCAAGTGGTATATTTATGTCTGTTTAATTGCACATATACACCAGCAGTGCACAAGGCAATATCTCTTCTCCTGCCACAGTAGGTACACTCCCTCTTTATTAGTAATGGTGATGGAAGTACGTTTAGGTTATTGCCATTTGCTTACAACGCTTTGACTGATGTGAATTTATTGTTTTACCAGCGAGGACATATTGATTACAGTGTATGGTGACAGCCTGCAGGAGAGAGGCAGCAGGGAATGAGGGAGTGGTTATAAATGCTGGAAGACAAGGGATGTGAGGCGGTGGCTTTCATACCCCGGTTGTGGAGTTGAGCTCAGCCAGGATGAAGAAGACGTACTCCTGCCCCGGCTCTAGAGCTCGGTTCTCAAAGCCTCCGTAGTCCAGCTGATCCCCCAGGGTGAAGAACGCCGGAAGCGTGGCAGGTGTGAAACGAGCTGTGATGTAAGCTCGACGCAAGTCCACCTGCTTCTGCTGCCGAGAATCTCTCTGCCTTTGACTGATGTCTTTTAACAGCTGAGAGATGGAGAGCAAATAAAAGACAGAAACAGAGAGAGGGAAGACACACAGACAAGATCAAATGGGATCAATGTCAGCGACTAAAACACCGACAGTGAATTAAAATGGGTAAGCGTTGCCAGTTCTTAGCAACGGGATTGTGCGTGTGTGTTTATACTGTAGGTCCTCCCATGCTTCCAGACAGAGACGTCACTGTGTGCTTTCATTGTTGTGGTTCTCACCTCTTCTAGGTCCATTTCATCTGGGCTCTTGAGCGGTTTGATGACACCACGGGCTCTCTTCAGGGGAACCACCACAACATAAACATTCCTGTGGGAGCAGAGGATGACAAACAACATAACACCAGCTGCACTGCTATAACAGCAAACATGTCTCAACAGTTTTCATGCTTACTTGCCATCTTGTTGCTCTAGAGATATCTTAGGCTTCCTGCCAGTCAAATAATGCTAGTGAAATGCCCCACACCTCAGAGACCGCATCTGACCTAACTACAACGAGACTGTCTATGAAATCCCAAAATGTCTTACTTGACAGGAGTACGAGTCTCCAGCGACGGCAAGATTATGGTGATGGTGGTCTCAGTGTCACGGGTGTGGTCAATCTCAGGGCGGCGGATGGTGATTGGCGGGGAGGTCTTGGCAGTGATGCGGTGGCGAAGGCCTCCCATGTTGCCTTCAGGAGCAGTGATCTTGAAGTCATAGCTGGTGTCAGGTTGCAGGTTTCGGATGACTGCCTTTCTCTGATGAGCATCCATCTCCATCTTCTCCCGGTTATACTCCACCTGGAAGATGGGAAGAGAGTTGTTGAAGTTAGGTCATGGGCTGAGTAACTGAGTATTACACTGTTATACTGATACTTTTAATTAAGTAAGGGATCTGAGTACTTCTTCCACTACTGGCAAAAACAACAGTTCAGTTTGCCAGACAATTAGTAGAGTATCCAGCCCAAGAAATAGTCAGACAGATAACCCCCTGTAAAATGTTTTTGTCTGCAAAAACATACAGTATTAGATGCACACTAGTGAGCTTTAGAGGTGCTGGAGGCAGATCTTATATATATCATGTTTCTTTTTCATTTTACATAACACCAGCATCCTGTGGGTGAAACAATAAATGTCAATCCATCCACCACTGGGAGTATAATTTAGGTTGGGGCCATACATACTGTATGGTAATGTAAGTATTACAGTTATAAACACCAGACAAATATGTAATTTCTAGGTTATACAGTATTGCAGTTATTAACTGACTAGGCATATGTCAGCACACATGTTCATAGAGAGGGTCATGGACATACAGTAAAGCGATAGGGGTTGCTGCTCTCTGGAAACTCCCAGGTCAGAAGAACACTGGTCTTAGTGGCCAAATTGACTGAAAAGTTCCTTGGCACATCTGGGAAGCAAACAAACAAACAAACAAACAAACAAACAAACAAACAGTCACTTGTGATGAACCATTTTACTGAAATCAGTAGTTCCTCTGCTTTCCGGCTGAAGACCTGTATAAAAGGAGGACATGTCAGTCAGATCTGCTACTGGGGGAAGAACACATGATGGTTAGGAGGATGGGCAGGTGAGGAGGAGAGTGGGTGGCAAGAGTAATGAATACAAGTAACAGACAGGCTGGTTGTGGGAATGTGACATGCCACATTCTTAGTGTGTAAGGTTTGTCGGACTCAGCAAGTCAGCGGAGGCTCTGGAAACGGTGGCAGTGAAGGTCTATCAGATAAAAAAGACTTACCTGCAGATACAGCACCAGACACCGGTTTCACTTGACTTCAGACTGAACACTTACCTTCTGTGTTAGATATGATATATCCAAGCCCTGTACTGACTTTTACCTGAGGGTCTGTTATAAGCAATGCTCTTGAAGCAAACATCCAATAATAGTCAGGCTGCTTCCACTAGTGGTGAAGGGTAGGTGATAAAGGTAGAAGTGAGCGGGTGGAGGAGATACGGGGTAGTAGTTGTGTTCCCCTGGACTTTGAGGTTCTCAGCTTCTCTGATGTGCACAGGTGAGAGGTTGACCTGTAATAACTGGTCCAGACGTCATTTAGTTTAGTGTTATGGAGTGAATTCTACATTAAAGGGAATGGGGAAGTGAAGCTGAACCGGTGCTTACAAGATGACTTGTGCTCCTGAGGCCCGAGGCCTGCCCTACCTGTTTCAAAGGCCAGGGTTTGGCACACCAGAGGTGGGCTGAAGGGGCCCGGCCCTGCTTTGTTGTGGGCTTTGAGCTGCAACTCGTAGACTGTGCTGTGATTGAGGCCCAGGATGGTGTAACTGGACTCACTTGCTGGCAGTGTTATCAGCCATGGAGAAACAGAGAGGGCTGGTAAGGCATAGGGGCCAGGGTCAGCAGAGGGTCTGGGGTCTGCAGCCTCTTTGTAAGCTATGGTGTATTCTGTAATGACACCGTTGGACTCCTCTGGGGTAGGGGGCAGCCAGGAGAACTGGAAGGAGCAGCATGAGGCATTAACAAAGCCAGATATTTTGGGGTATCCCAGGGGCGGGAACATGGGAACTGTGATCTCCTGCTGGACTACATCTCCATAGCCTGCTGTGCTCTTCGCAGAAAGGACAAAGATGTAGGAGGTGCCCGGGGAGAGGTCTCTGACAGTGAAGTTTTTCTCCCGATTCGTGAAATCCACTGTGGTGTCTAAAGAGGTATTCTTCAGGCCAAACTGTAGGCGGTAGCCCTGGATTTCTACTGGGGCCCCTCGGCTATCAGAACCAGGTTCAGAGCACTCTAGCGGAGGAGCCCACCGCACCATCACTGATGGACCTGATCCTGGATGCAACCAAAGGGAGGGGGGGCCAGGCACTGCAAACGACAGTGTAGGCGGTGATATACATACACAGTATATATATATAAACATGTACCATCTAAATCTTATAAAAGAATTAGAACTGATTCAGTGGTTTATTTGCCGCTAGCTCCTGCTGCAGCTTACTGTAAGATCAATTCTTTAGTATTTTGCTAAATCCAGTGCACTGAACCCTACACTTGGCATATGCTTACCAATCCCCAGGGTATGCACCAGCTTGGCTTTGCTGTGTGCTCCATCCCCTTTGATGGTGTATGCTGCCACTGAGACAGAGTACAAAGTATCTGCTTTCAGACCTCCCAAAATCAGCTCCTATAGGAAAATACAAAACACCAACATGTAATACTGCTAACTCATTCTTTAAAAATGAGACTACACCGATCTACGTATTCTCTTTCTTTGCAGTCATGCATCAGTGAAAAATTATCAAAAAGTTACACACAGAGACTAATCAAATCCCTAGTGCTCAAACTTAATGAGGATTTCATATCTGTCTCTGTGTAATGTGCTGGATGCATTAACAGGGACTTCATTTATAGTGAGAAGAGGGTGGGTAGCCTGCACTCACATACTGAGTCAAGTCATCCTCCTCCATCTTATTGCAGAAATAAGACACACCCCGCAGGCAGCCGAGCCAAACGAGATGAGTGAGTCAAAGGACCAGAGAAGAAGGGGAGGATGTTTAATGATCAAATAAATGAACATTATTTAATAATTTAAATGTTCAGTTAGGATGTAACCTGAAACTCGTCCAATAAGAGATCTTTGATCCGGGGGAGGTTGCGTGATTCAGTGTTTTCTACACGACTGAAATGCACCTGGTAACCACGGATCTGGCCATGCTGTAACCAGGGCAACACTGATCGCCAAGTAACTCTCAGTGCTGAGGAGTTGAGTGGCTGGACATCCACTTGACGAGGGGCTGCACCAGGAACTAGGCAGACACACCACGCACACACACACACGCACACACACACACAGAATTAATTAGGTGACCCACTGTCTAGCCAGTAAATAATCAACTAAGCAATCAATACTGTTTAGGTCTGATCTACAGCTCTCACTCTTACCATCCTCATCAGTTCTGCAAAGCACAGCCAGGCTGCTGGGTCCAGTGCCCTCTGTAGTGGACGCTGCAATGGTGATGCTGTACCAGCTCCATTTCTCCAGCCCCTCTACCAGTGTCTGCCCCTGCTTCGCTGGGACAGGAAGCCCCTTTACCTCCTGGCCCTGACCTCCGCCTTCTGCTCCAGAAACTCTCTGGTATCTCAGCTCATACTCTGCCAACTCGCTATTCTGGCCCTCCCTTGGAGGCGGCGTCCAACTTACTCTCAGTGAGGTGGAGCTGGCACTCTCACAGGACACACCCTTGGGTGCAGCTGAGGGCTCTGTTTGGACAAGGGGCAAGGAGGGCAGTTGGCAGAGTTTAGGAAGAGACACAAAAGAATGGGGTGGAATAAACAAGAGAGGGGAAAATACAAGTAAAAAGATAGGCAATATGGATAAAAAGGAAACAATAAAAAACTAAGGTAAACTGAATTGAAAGAAATAAGACAAACATGACTCAGGCAAAAAAGGGGAGCAAACGCATAATGTAAGAACCAGGGATAATGTAAGAACATAATGATATAAACCAGAGACGAGACTATTGATCCTGAGTGGACAACTTAATTATACCCAAGGAGAATGTGCATCTGATACCCAGTGATTTTATTTTATCCTTTGACCAGAGCTAGTGGCATAAAAGGATCCAGATTTATGAATGAAAAACAAAATAAAAAAGCAGGGACACACAAGTTAGTGCACAAGAGCACAGACAAATATATCCATTTCCTAACAGCAGGCCCCATGATGGCACAATCCTTGAGTCCTCAGGATTATAGAGTGGTCTGATACTTTCCACAGCTGACTAGGGCGAGGTTTGGGGCTTCACAGAGGGAAGAAAAAAAACAAAAACAAAACAAAGTGCAACAGATCTCATATAGTGCCGAAAGGATTTAGTTGCAAGTTAGAAAAAAGAGAAAAGAGAACAGCAAGGCAGAGAGATAAAGGCACTCAGACGGATATTGAAAGTCAGGCTAGAATGATGAATTGGAGACAAGGACTGAATCAGAACTAGACTGGAATATTTACTGCAACAAGCACAAGAAGTCATAGACCCAAAATCACACACCTTCATAACCACAGTTCTCTGAACTGTAGGTATCACTCACTGTATAGAATATTCCTTAAAGCTACAGTATGTGCCTTTCCTCAAAATCCTTTAGTTTAAATGTACTTCAAAACATACCTTAATGTGGAGAGGTGCTGTCAAAGGCTTTTAGGATGTGGGCTCATTAAACAGCCTGGCAGCAATGGAGAGTTAATCCCTTCTAAAGTTTCTGACCAATCAGAGAAGGCCTAAATCAGGGGAGGGAGATCACAGCTGTAAATCAACACATGAACCCACTTCTGGTCTATTACTTCTCTTGTGCTGAGGGTTCAAACTAGTATTATCTGCAGGAAGTTATCACACACACACACACACACACACACACACACACACACACACACACACACACACACACTAGGAATCTCCCTGTTCCTGCATTAGCTGAGACAGTGTAGACAACAAGGATGTAGGGTAACGGAGCAGGGAGGGAGCTGTGGCAAGAGTGGAGTTGTTTGCTTCTGAGTTTAGTACTAGTTTGATTTCCAGAACTTGTGTAGTGCGGCTTTGAAGAGCACACACACTCACGCATGCAAATGGAAAGCACGGCCGAGGCGTCTGGGCCTGTGTGTGAGCTCGGAGTGTATAGAACATGTGTGTATGTGTGGGAGTGTAATAGTCATAGCTGACAGGTTCAGGTATCTATCCACTCAGCCGTACAGCCACTGTTCTGTTGGCCTCAGGGGACAATCTAGATGTGCACCAAAGCTTGGCGATAACAAAGCACACTGGGAAATGAATTCTGCTGCATGAAATAGTCTGCTTATCTGGCACCTTCACTTTCCTGCACCAACCGCCCCCACCCCCCCCCTTCCTGTTGCCACCTCCTCCAATGTACCACCTTGATCTGTCTTTCTTTTTGGGAGAGTGAAAGGAGAGCAGCTAAAATCGTTTAGCCCATTCTGTACTCAGTTCTATAAAAGATCTGATTGTGAATACACAGAATGAACATTTGCGTCTGGTTGAGTGATTGTAAGTACTTGACAAAAACTTACCGATGCAGCGATAAAGTGCCTCAAACCGTAGGTTTTTTCTCTGACAAGCCAACTTTATTAATTCTTTTCCTTGCACGATTTCCTCTGTTATCTCTGCATTTCTTTCTTCTTGAGAGCAGATATAAAATAACTTGATATCCCAGGGTAAGATAGTGGAACTTATTTGAATCTTACCAGATATCAAGTGATTGTGTGGGGGGAAAAAGAAAAACGGAGACAAGGGAGAGAATCCATGTTCAGATACAGACTGGCCGGCACTCACCTGTCAACATAGCAGGCCAAGCACCATCCTTTAATGCTCCTCGCCACTGGCTTCCTCGCCTCTGGCTGCTAGCCAATAAGTGGCAGACAGTTTTGTCCTTTCAAAGACATTAGACACTGATAGAGTGGGAAAAGCGAAAGGAGGGTGAAGGAAAGGAAGAGTGAAATATTAAGAGGTGCTCCATCTCCATCTGTCACGATGTTTTGGCTGTGTAAGAAAGAAAGAGGCTGAGCGGGGGAAGGAAGGCACAGTCAAACGTAGATGGATGATGGGAGGGGGGTTGAACAGATGGGTTGATAAACAAGATAGATGGAGAGATGCAGAGATGGTTCCCAGGTTTTACCAGGTCAGGCGCTGAGGGCAATATAATTTGAGCTCTGTGTGTGTCTGTGTGGAGGACAAAATATTTGCATGAGATTTGTGTATAAAAATGGAATATAATACAATTATAATCTGTGGGATCTGTGTGTGTGCCCACAGGTGCACTGTGACCCCAGTCAGACAGAGACGTACTGGCTTGTGACGTCCTCTGCACCAGTTCGTTAGTGAAAGCTCCGATGCCTTTGCTTGAGATGGCAGCCAGGGAGAAGGAGTACTCTATGTTCGCTTTCAGACCCTCCACAGTGTAAGAATTCCTCGGCCCAAAGGTCAGCTTCTCCTGCAAGAGAGAGGACAGAGGAGCAGCAGATGGGATGAGAGGTGGTGTGAGGGGAGTGAAAAAGAAAATTATTACAGGAGAGATGGAAAGAGAAAGAGCTGAGACAGTGGTGCTTCTCTTGTTAAAAAAAAAATCAACTGAGCAGATTTATACAGAGTGTGAGAGGTCTTACCAAACTGCCAAACTTGACAGGTTTATAGAGCAGCTCGTAGTTGACAATGCCCTCCTTGGTGTAAGCAGGTTCCCAGGTCAGCTCAATGCTGGTGTCTGTCACCCTACCAACTCTGAACTTCCCTGGTTGGCCTGGGACTGAAAAGGCCAGGACAACACACGCTCAGTAACGTGTATCCACAGTAATTTGTTTTAGCCTTTATCATTTTTTTTTCAGTTTGTTTTCTGCTTTCTTTATCAGCTTCTCACTATATGTGATGGTATCCTACTGGTTATTTCATATACTGCACCTACACCTAGGGGTAGGTGTCTTTTATTTAAAAATGGTTTCAAACCAAATAATTTGAACCTAACCTAATTTTTCGGGTTATTTAAAGACTTATCACTTCAAAAATGATGTTTTCACCCAAATCTTTTGCAAAAAATGTGTATTTTCTTTGAATTCTTTATATTCTTGTATTTGCTTGTACACTGTGCCACTGCAGACATCCAGTGGCGCTACATTAGCTCACCCTTCATGAAATCTTAAACCACTAAGACCATCAGATTTCTGAATAATCATCTCTTTATACCTCCCATCACATTAAAACCTCCAGCTTCACAGCAGCTGTCACAGCCACATGAGCAACACCAAGGTTAGAGAAACAGTTTTTGGCTGTTAATCCCCGTTTTCTTTTCATAAATCTCCACAGTTCTGTCCCAGCAGGCAGAATTTATTCATTCCGAAGAAGTCATATTCTCTGACAGGTCAAGCTTATTTACAAAGCACAGTGGATTTCTTTACTTTACATAAGTCACTCGAATAAGCTACTTAACAGTTTGTAAACTCGCACACACACAAACAATGACTCATTTGTGCTCTGCCACACTCGCATATCTGAAAAACAACCTCTACTCCCCTACCCATGAATAAATGAAGACCGCTACTTATTCAATATCTATGCACCAGCATGCATGGTAAATTGACTCACTCGCACAAACATCTACCAGTGGTTATGCACACACACTCGTTCATGGTCGCACACACACTGACCTCCAGGCATGACTTTAACATGCACGGGGTCTGAGAAGGGTCCGTCTCCCACAGAGGTGAAGGCTAGGACCTGGATGGTGTAGGTTTCTGAGGTTATGAGGTTTTGAATGGTGGTGATCACACTGTCCTGGACGTTATGGATCTGCCACTCATTGATAGGCCTGGACGGGTCCATGGTGTAGTACACGCGATAGCCTTTCACCTACAGAGAAGTAAAGAGTGAGAGGAAAGGCTGCTACATAGAGAGTAGAGCTCAGTTTGTTGGATAAGATTTTAAGGTCATCTCACTGTCCTTCATGCATGGTAATCCTTAATACCACCTTTCACAGCCAAGGCCATCATCTGTGAATGTGGATTTGTTGGTTCAGTGTTTGTTAAAAGGTCATTGTCACAAGGAAATATCCTCAAATTTCTGATGCCGTTGACTCCGATAAGCAAATCTCACTTGACAAAACCAGCTCCAGTACAAGCTGAGTGTCATCAGACTAGTGCATAAGATATAATCACTACACCTCCTCCTATGGGATTTGTTTATGAGCAGTTCAGAGTATATGTAATCTCCGTCACCATGCCATTGCCCTCACCCTCCACCTCTACCACTCCTCCTGTTATTACGTTTTAATATCTATAATCCCCATGTGCTCTCACTTCATGCTTGCACTTTTATGAACCTGTTGTACGGGTAGGCAAGCTAGAAAAAAACGGAAATAGGCCTCAAGAGGAAGTGCTCTTAACTTAGAGCGTACAGCCCAATTACCTTTTCTTTCTTTAGAGAGAGGGGAAAGTAGCAAGGGAGTTACAGGAGGGAAATCTCTGGCACGACATATCCCTGAAAAGTGCACAAACCTGCACACTGGAATAAAGCTCCCAGTGGTGACCTCATCATATTTATAATACATATACATATAATGTAGTCCAGTACAAATTGTGCAGGTGTACCTCATAAACTGGCCGGTCAGTGTAATTTCAGTCACACATTACTTTAAGTCATTGTATTTAGCATTTATAAGCAGACGTTGTAAACACATGTAAAGACATTTGAAATAAATTACTATTATTATTATTTGATAGCAATTCTAACTTCTCTTGTTAAGACAAATTTTATATTATTACAAATGTGTTTTATTATATTGCCATTCCTTATTCATCAGCCTCCAACTAGGGGTGCCCACAGGAGAAGTAACAGTGGTTTAAAAATGCATTAAGGACACTTTAGAAGAAGTGAAATTATGGGCAAAAATGTAAGTTAAGATATTTATATATACTTGTGTTACGTTTTCTCACAGAGCTCAGCTGAGAGATGACAGACTGCATCAGAAAGTTTAAGCATCCCTTAGTTTTGACTAAAGGGACACAGAAGGTACATTTCAGAACTCTGGATTTAGTAGACGGGAGCTAACACAGAAAGGAGCAAGGCTTTTGTTTCGAGCAGCAGTGATTTTGTGGCAGACATCTACCACCCATTTTGGAACATTTTCCTGTATAACACCAGCAGATAAAATGTAAATGTATGTTTACTAATGGCAGTAGATCAAAAAGAGTCGCCTCATCCCACCTGTCCATTGGGCTCCTCCGGCTCCTCCCAGCGCACCATCACGGTGTTCTGAGAAATAATGTGGGCCTGGACATTTCGAGGAGGGCTGGCTGGTGCCTGCTCTCCTGTGCGAGCCTCCACACGTGTAGACGGGGGCCCCTGGCCGATGCTGTTGAAAGCCGACACTCTGATTTCATACTCAGTGTTGGGGTACAGTCCCCCGATGCTGTAGCGGGTGGTGGTGATGCCGTCCACCGTCTCGTACTTGCTGTCTGGACCTTTGGCTCGATACTGTATGATGTAGTAGGAGACGGGGTCTGGGTTGCCTGAGTCCCAAGTGATGGTCACACTGGTAGCGGTGGTCTCTGTGACAATGGGTGTGCCAGGAGGCTTTGGCAAAGCTTGGACAGAGAGAAGATGAAGAAAATTATACTTCCTTCTACTGTATACTGTGTATTATCTGTTGGTTTCTGTCCATTCTGTACATATTTAACTTAATATATATGTATATAAACTTTAACTATGTAGTTAGATGCTAATCTGCATTTTGTTGTACTCTTACTCAGTGTATGCAATTACAGTAAAGTTGACACAAAGTTCAATAATTCAATAAAAAATTTGAGGTCAAACTACATTAGTCATTTTTGTGAAGGAACTTGCAATAATCTACACACTAAACGGCCTTCCACACTGCTATGCATCAATGATAAATGCACACCGTTATTACTGACCCAATCCTACTTATCTAGTCTTTCTTGGTACAGTACAGGGCAAATTTATTTGACAGGAGTCAGCAAAGATGACCTCGCTGGAAATTTTTACTAACCGGTTCTCCTGGCAAGCAAACATTTGGAAATACGCATGAGACCAAATCAAACTGAATATTTTCTTCAATAAAACAATGACTGAGGTCCTTTTCCACAGCCTTTTCTCTGTCTATGAACCAAAACAATTAATCCTGCTATTAGAGCATCCCTTACTCTTGACTAAGACCTGTGCAGTGGCCTCGATGATACCCAAGCTACTCATGGCCACACAGCTGTAATTCGCAGACTCCCGGACACTGTTGAGCTCCAGCACATTGCGGCCAATCGGCATTTCATCCTCGGGGGTCAGGTCCTCGGTGCCCAGCATCCACTTGACGTAGGGCATGGGCGAACCCACGGCCACACAGGTGATGTTGACACTGCCTCCTGGCATGATCTCATGGTTGGAGGGGAGGATGGAGAAACGAGGGGGCACACGGCGCACTGGGAAAGGAGTAGAGCCGGGG